CAATTTTTTTAGGATTTTTTTTTTTTTTTGCAAATCGCATAATCGATATTTCCATAATTGTAGGTTATTTGCAGATTGAATAAATCAGTCGAATTTATAAAATTTTAGAATTTAATCAGTCGATATTTCTAGTGAGAATGGTGCTCAATGAAAGAAATAAGAATAAATCACAGCCATTAGATCGAGATGATCTAATAATAATAATAAAAAAAAAAGAACCAAAATTATATCTTCATTAAGGGTACTGTTGTAATTTTCACATACATACAGTGGACCCACAAACACACCAACTTCCCCCACACCCCACGTGGGTCAGATCCAATTGTCCTCATCTCACCAAATCTCTCTCTCTCTCTCTCTCTCTCTCTCTCTCTCTCTCTCACACACTTATCTTCTGTTTCACGCCCACACACACACCACCAGCCACCATCTTCCTGGAGTTCACACGGCAGTCATCTCAAGCCGGCACCGACCGCCGCTGCCTCAGAACAAAACGTCGCTCCTCATGGTCGCTCTCTCGAATTCTGTTCGTCATCACACTCACCAGCAGCCACCATTTGCCTGGAGTTCACACGACGGTCATCTCTCGCTGGTGCCGACCGTCGCTGCCTCAGAACGAAACTCCCACCGCTCATGGTCGCTCTCTAGAATTCAGTTCATCATCACACTCGTTGTTGTACGACATGAACTTGACAGTGAAGGACCTCGTCGGCCGTTCTCCACCACCACCGGCGTCGCCGTCTCAGCCTGCCATACTACCGCCGTCTTCTCGTTCCGCCATCTGATTGCCGCCGCAGTCTCATTCCCGCCTTCCGACCGCTGCCGCATTACTGATAGGGTAGACTGTAGAGTCACGAACATTAGGGGTTGAAGGTTCCACAATTTGGGGGCCTTATTTTGTGAATTAAATAGAAGTGAGCGACTTCAATGTAATTTATGAAATTTTGATTATTTTTCAATTGAGTACATTGAGTTAAATGTGTAATTATGTATAATATATAACATTATTTTTATATTTTTTGTACATATCTACTATCTGTTTTTAAAAAAATAATAGAAATATTAAATAAAAATATAGAAATACTAATATTTACAAAAATATTATAAAAAATATTACTTATTATATATATTTTATACATATATTAAAATAATAAATAATTGTATTAAAAATAATATAAAATATTAAAACAATGTAAGTTAATAAATAAAAATATTATTAAAGAAAATTTTATAATATAAATCATATATTATTTAAATTAATTAGGTTAAGTCCCTTAACCAATCAAATAAACTAATTACTTCGATTTGTTATTAGTTTGGGTTGCAAATAAAAAATCAACTTTTCATAATGCACAAATAGTATTCTGCACAATAGTGTGAAACATGATGCACATTAGTGATAATCAAACCGCACAATGATGTCAATTCTGGAACACACATTATTAAATTTGTATAAAATTGAAATACGCGAAAATATACACGCATAATAGATTGCACAATAATATTAAATAAAATGCACAAAAAAATATTCAAATACTTAATTTATTATTTATATTTGAAAACTAGAAATTACTAGTGATGGCTTATGAATTGAAGTTTAGGGTAAGTCAAAGTTCAATAAACAACATTTAATACGTGCAATAAGTAAAGTTCTAATCAAGTTGAGTAAATTCAGAAATACGAATACACAATTGCGTTATACAAATTTCACATTATTGAGTGCGAGAATGCACCGTAGACCTAATTACAAAATCAATCATTCACGTATTACCTGTTTTCTCTATGAGCTGCTTTATTATTCCTGCTTCTATTTGCTCTGAAATTGCTAGATTGAGTGCTAAATTTTGGTGGAAGTCAGGCCTAGACAAATCACAAGGTATCCACTGGAAAAAGTGGAATTTCCTTACTCTTCCAAAGGAATCTGGTGGCCTTGCTTTCCATGATCTTCAGCTTTTCAACAAAGCACTTATATGTAAACAACTGTGGAGAATTGCCTCCAACCCAGATCTGTTAGTAAGCAGACTCCTCAAGCACAGGTATTTCCCTTCCTCATCAATTGTCCATGCTTCTAAAACTCCTAATGGATCCTGGATGTGGAACTGTTGGATGGAGGTGTTGCCAATTTTCTCTAAATGCTTGAACATTGAAATTAGAAATGGGGCTAACACAAAAATCTCAGACTTAAACTGGATACCTGGACTTTGCAAACCTGCCCCTTCTCTCATTCCAATTGCTAGGGGGCATTTGATTTGGGTCAAAGACCTTCTGCAGCAAGATGGCACTCAATGGAATGACTGGCTTGTCAGGCAAGTATTTGATGATATTGATAGCTCTGCTATTCTGAATATTGCCACTTTGAACCCTCAGAGGCAAGATAGGCTGTTCTGGAGCCTAGAGAAGAAAGGCCATTTCTCTGTGTCTAGCACATATAGCCACCTCTGTTCCATTAAGGTAAAGCAATCAGACCTCCCAGAATGTAGCTCTTCTTCAGCTGCAAAGAAATCAGTCAAATACAGACACTGGGGTTTGAAAATAGAAGGCAAGATCAAGCACTTCGTGTGGAAATGTATCTCAGGCACCCTTCCAGTTGCTGTCAATTTAAAAAAAAAAAAAAGAGTAGACATTGATACAACTTGCTCAACCTGTGGAGCAGTTGCTGAGACCATAGAACACCTTTTATTCTCTTGCAGCCGAGCTATCACACTTTGGAGATTAAGCCCTGTGCAATGGGATGGCATTCTGGGATTTACAGACTCTTTTAGAGATTGGTGGTACCAAATCTGCTCTCTTGGCCACTCTGAAGTCGCCGAAGCAAGAATTCAACTAACTACATACATGCTCTGGTGGCTTTGGAAGTCAAGGAATCTTTGGCTGTTTCAAAAATCCTTAATCCAGGAGCACTCTCTCATCAAGCTGGCTCTGGCAGATTGGTTGGTCTTTTCGCAGACTTGATTTTAGTTTGGTTTTTGTTTGTTTTCTCTTGTTGTTTTTTCCTTTTGGACTAGTGGAGTTCTGATTACTAGGCTTTATAGCAGTGGTGGGAGTCTTCGCCTTTGTTTTGTCTTTCGCTGTTGTTTGTGTTTTGCCGGTTATTCCAGTTGGGTTGTTCGTTTGATCCCTTGTTGAGGCTCTAGACCGCATTTTGCGTGTCTCTCAGTTTTATTTTTAGGATTCTTTTGTACTGTTTGTATTCGAACTTTGTTCGCTTGAGTTTTATAATAGTTACTTCTGTCGTTTTGGGAAAAAAAATTTTTTTTTTTCGAAACAATAGAAATTTCATTAAAATAAAAAACACATAATTACAGCTAGAATAGCCAAGCAGCCAAATAGCTGAATCCAGGAGGCCTACACAAATGTAGCCTAGAAGCAACTACACTAACTCACCCACATCACAACAAATTATACAGCTCCCAACAGGAGAATAACACAGCTTCCAATAGGAGAATAACACAGCTCCCATCAGGAGAATATCACGCTCCCAAAAGGAGAATAACTGAAAAACACAACAACACAACAACTAAAACACAAAACAAACAACCAACACAAAACAACACACAAACTAAAGAGAAAAAAGGAACAAAGCCCTCCGCAACCACTTGCAACAAACCGAGATAGACCAAACGACACGGATCCCAAAGAAAGAAGACTGACCTAACCTAGATCTAGAAACTGCACTCAAAGGCCTAACTAGATCCGGACCAAAACGAGCCCGACTCCAAGAAACGGGACCAACACGGATTACACCGAGAACCCAACATCGAACTAGTCCTCAACAGCAAACCAGGCCAAGGCAGTCGACCCCCACCGGCGGCGGCCAACCACCCCCCCCTCGGACCCAAACACCCCAACACCAGAAGGATAAAGGATCCAGGGGGCCAGACGGCGTCGAACTCAGGCCAATCCCCCACCACGGCGGTTGAAAATGCTGGTGACCGCAACTCGCTGCATGGAAGTCGAAGCACCCTCGGGATTCGCCATGGCCACCAGAGATCGGAGAGACGCCATGCCGTGAAGAGTGAGACAACCGGACTGTGGAATCGCCGCCACCTCGATGTAGAGCAGTGCCAGTTTAGTGGCTACCGGCTGACCGGCGGAGGGAAGGCACCTGCAGCTGCGACGAGAAGGGACTTCTGCTAGGGAATTTGGCTGCTAATTGATAAATTGTTAACTTCTAAAATGTTTAGGCAAAATTATATAATTTCATAATAATATGGTATATTTTTTTAATGTGTATATCGTCACACAATATTGTGCATTTCATATATTGTTACCGTGCATTTTATTAATTGATATTGTCCATTTATTATTTTTGTAAGTTATATATTTATTAAATTTTTTAATAATTTATTATAAAGTATTTAAACCAATAATTAATTTGTAGTATAATTTTTTTTCCCGAAACGATAGAGATATTATATAACAAGCACAAATGTGCAAAAGGTCAGCCACCAGCTGAATACATACAGCTAACAGCTGAATACAAGCAGCCAACAGCTGAAAAAGTGGGAGGACAGGTCCAAGGACCGCCTAAATAACCGACCCCAACAGGGTAAAACAAAGACCCCAACAGGGTAAAACACAAGCACAACTAACAAACTACACAAACCCCAACAGAGTAATGCCCAAGTGTCGGATCCCAACAGGATAATAATGTGACACTCGGGCAAACTGAGGCCAACGGCCCAGACCAAAAACACAAAGACCACACAACCTAAATAACCAACTAAAACACAGATCTACCAAACAAAACAAACAAAAGAAACAAAACTAATCGAGCCCTTCCAAAGTAGCAACATCAAACCGAACCAGCGGAAACAAAGCGAAGGTGAATCCCGCAGCCAGATGTATCGACCCCGAAACTGCCCAAAACCACTCGGTTGCCTAACGGTGTCGAAACCCTAACCCCAGAACAACACCAATCCACCCCGAACCAGGCCCGCAACATCATATTGCCCCGAAACGGACAAAAGTGCCACGGCCCCAATCCCAACCCCAAACCGCCTGGAAGCTGCCCTCAGCCACCGCACCGCCGCATCCCCACTCCGACCAACACCACTGGCAGAGAAAGGAACTCGATAACCCCTGCGCCTCAAAAGCCAAGAACAGCGGGGAGACGATGTCGAACCGCAGTCATGCCCCAATCGCCCAAACAATTAGGTCGCCGAGCAATTGAGGCGCATCCCACCCCCAGAACCGCTCCACGGCTCCACCACCGCCCAACCTAGGCGGCACCACCTTGAAATCACGAGTTGGCGCCAGAAAAGACGAGCTCCGATTGCAACAGACGAGGCCTGGCGCCATGGAAGACAAGTAGCGGAGCAGAAAAAAATAAGGGGGGGAGCCAAACGGCCAAAGGCCGGTGACCGCCGGCAAAGCTAGATGGCAACTATGGAAGGCCGGCGGCTTGAAATTAGAGCGACGAGACGGAGGAGATTTGGGAGCGAGGGTTTTTTAGAGAGAGAAAATCTTCTTTTTCAAGATATATCAAATATTTGTAGTATAATTAAAGATTAAAAAAATTGCAACATAAGCCCTATCATTAACCAAATTTTAATAAAAAACCCCAAAAATCTATTTCACCCTAAAAATGACTAAAAACCCCCAAAATCTATTTCACCTAAAATTGATTTCATCAGAAGTCGTTTCGCTGCAACCCGAAGAAAAAAAAAATTCCAGCCGTCACCTCCCTTCTCCCTCCAGATCGTCGCCGCCGAAACGATTGTGCACTTGCCGGATGTGCACTATACCGCCGCCGGATCGTGTCGACTAGAACCTAGGTAGCTGGACTCAATAGGTGACACGCAGAGGGAGATGGACGACGATGTGAATAAGGAGCTGGCGGTGGTTGATGTCCGTGTTGGAGCTGATGGCGGTTGTTGTCGGCGGCGGGGCTCGTGGTGGTTTGTAGCGAGACCAGTGGTGGTTGCCGGTGGATCTTGTAGTGGTTGGTGGTGGGGCTGGTGGTGGCCGGTGACGGGGCTTGTGGTGGTTGGTTGCGGTGGCGACAGGACCTGGCGGTGGCGAGACAATTGGTGGTAGGCGGCAGATCTGGTAGTTGTTAATGACGGTGATCGGTGGCTTTTGTTGGGTTGATTCCGAACATCCAGATGGAGTGGAGGGGGAGGGCGGGGTTGAGGATGGCTGATGGCGTTCGACGGGATGGCAGCGGCGGCGACGACTGCGTTTTGGTGGCAGCAGCGACGTGGAGGTGGAAGCCGGGGCTGAGTGTGTGTAACTGTGTGTGGCTGAGTGTGTGTATTGTGTGTGTTTGTGTGTGTTGTGTGAGAGAGAAAGAGAGAGACAAGGAGAGAGAGTGATTCAGATTTTGTAATGGTGGTGGGGCCCGTGTGAGTTGAATGTGTATATATATATATATATATATATAAGTTTGATTATTTTTTAAATAGCAACTATTTCTCTCCCAAAAAAATCTATTTGCTATTTCAAGAAATTAATTTACTAAATTACGGTATCTATTACTATATAATACAGTTAAGAAAAAATAAGAAAAAAATCCGAAAGTGGAAAGTCATTTTCCCGCTTTTTTTTCGTTTTTAACCATTTAAATATTTTTTTTTAAAAATATTGGGATTATCCCGCCCATGTTTTCAAAAATTTTTTAGCTATATATTGGTGATCCGATTTAAATGGGGCTGATTTTAAGCAATAAGTTAAGATGAATCATTTTTTTTTTGTGGCTGTGAAATAAAGACACCAGCCACTGTTTTCAAAATAATATATACATTATCGGACTAGCTTATTATTAAGTCAAAAACGCTAATTGTATTTCCATTTTTCTCCAGTTAGCAGTTTTCTCTCTCTCTGTTGGTCCAATATTTTTGCTTCCTCCTGATATATTTCGTGCATCTCTATCTCCCTAAAAAATTGAATCCAATTTCTCATTTCTGAACATTAATTCATGTAGATCGATAACAAATAATTTTGAACAATTGCATCCCCAAAAACTTCAATTTTAGATCTCGCCGATTAGGGGAGCAAGAGTAGAATTATCTCGAGGAAGAAGCCAGTTGCCTCTGCGGTGGGCATCGACGCATCTCAAGCCCTAATCCTCCAGCCCCATGAGACGCGCCACCAGCGACGGGGACGGTGGCATCTGCGGTGATTTTCTGAGCATCCACCGAAGGCGCATGTGACATGCGTTTGTTGGTATATGAGTTTTGGTTAGCAAAGGTGCGATGGTTAGTTTTTTTTCTCCTTATTAACAAGGTTTTGGCTATCATTTTCACAAGAAAAAAACAAAGGGACAGAATAATGGAAGATGAATTGCGATGGGTTTCCTTTTCTATTTCCATTTTTTTTTTTTTTCGGGATTCTTAGATCACAATTGTTTCATGATAATGTATAGAGGACTTGGGTTGTGTAACTTTTTTCTAGAAATAATATTAAAACTTGATTTTGTGTTTATTGTTAAATTTTGGAGCGAATTTGTTGCTTGGACGAAATCATGCTTGGTTTGAAGCAAATTTGTGGTGGCTTCAAAGAAATTAGGTTTTTAAAGATTAAGATGATCAAATATGGGATTCGTTGCTGTTTGGTGAAGTTTGGGTGTTTTGGTTCAAATCTGTGATATCTTCGCTGATGTTTATCAAATATGGGACCCTTTGTATTTTCATTATCAGTTTGGCAAAAACCAAACAGGGTTGTCTTTCTTCAATTTTCCACTCATTTGTTTAGTATGTCCATTTATCTTAATATCCAAACTTCTTTGAATTTTGCGTCTGATCGAACGACGGATTTGATGATGCCGCAAGTTGTTGTTAGGTTGTTAAATAGTTGTTTTGGTATTTTTTTTAATGTTGTTCTATAGTTATGTCTTTTATGATATTTGAGCCTGAAATACTACAGTTGTGCGGTGCCTTTGAGGAACATCTTAGTTGGCTACTGAAGAACTCTAAGAGTGACTTCAAAATTTTATTCTTATGCAATTCGTGATGTTTGAAGATGAAGAACAAGAAGAATGAGGAAGAAGAAAGAAAAGGGAAGAAGGGAAGGGAAAATGTGAAGCACGATAGAGAAGGAAATAATCTTTTTCTTGCATTTTTGGAATTCGATATAGTCCCATGCTTCAATGTATTTTTTTTTATTATGTGAGCAGTTATGTATTTTGGCCGTATTTTGTTGCTCCGATTTGTATAGGCCTGATTTTAAAAAAGATCGAAACGTATGCATCAGTAGCATAAATGTAATCTTCGATTTTGTTGAAACGTGTATATCAATATCGATTTATTTTTTCTTACAAATCTGATTTTGGCAATTTCAAAAAAAATACCGAAACATGTGTATCAATACCATAAATGTAATCTCCTATTTTGTCAAACGTGTATATCAATATTAAAATCTGATTTTTTTTTTATTTTTTTTTTGTATAAAAATATGATCAAAACAATTAAAATCTAATCGTGCCTCTATATATATATTTAAGAAGCATGACGATTCATATATTTATTTTTATCATATATCATATGTTGGATGTTATTGGTTTGGTTGGGGACACTCATTATATTCAAATAAATAATATATAGTTTTTTATGTTTCGAATTTATTTTGTTGCAATAATGAGATGTTAAATGTAAATAATTATGTTTAAAATAAAATTTTAAAAAGGTTTTAAGTAATAAGCCTGTTCGTGCATCGCACGGGATGCATACCGTTATTTTAAATGATTACTTATGGAAATTGCGGCTCATTATTTAAAGAAGTAATTAAGTCATATTTTAAAATACCTTAATCTATTACTATATAATACAGTTAAGAAAAAAGGTTTTAAAAAATACATAAAATTATTTCATTTTCCCACTCAAATGTTTAATTTCCCCTCAAATTTTATTTGAAATATTTGGCTAACGTTTTATATGGTAATAGATAGATTTTATAAATCCACTTTCTTTTTTTTTTTAGCAAAATCCGATTTTAAATGGAACAAATATTTAAATTCAATAATTTAAAGAAACCAATCAGCATATTTTGTGGAAATGATCTCATACCATAATATCCTCCTTCCATAGATAAACTCCTCACGGGTGGTTGTGAGCTCCAATGGCTGGTGGCGAGTTGGGGGAATTTTCCGGTCAAGCATGGATAGGGCGACGTTAATTTTTCTTTAGGAAGTTAAAAATTTTTTTGGATTTATGTTTGACAAGTTCTCTGTTTTTCACAGGATAACAAACTAAGGTACCGTTTCATTTTAACCATTTTCCGAGCCTGGGAGAGAAGGTAAGTCTAATAATAGTTACTACCTTACATTCTTAAAAATGTTGAATGTTATTTCGTCTGATATTTTGATTCTTCAAGAAGTATCTGAATTCCTTTTACAGGACATCATAGGCAAAACGAATGTGGAGATTTTCCCGTTGCGCGTTAATTTTTTCCAGCCGTGAGGGGACGGAGTGACGAGGGTGCACGCGACTAGGCGGCTCCCACGGTAACGAACATGGCCTCTAAAGTTTAGTTGGACGCGGTTGACGGCCGGACAACGCGTCAGTCGCGCAAAAGCTGCTGGTCGGAGGAGCCGCAGGCTGTGAGACTGATGGTAGGTTGGCCGTTTTTGGGTTGCGCACGAAGAGCCTGGGCGGCAGGATGGCTGCTCGTGACGGCTGGACACGATGGAGTGCTGTGCTCCGACATCTGAAGATTGGCTGGCTGGAGAAAAAAAATCTCCAAGACGGGTGAAGCTACGTGGATTTGTTGGAGAAGAAAACCGGAACTCCATTCCCTGCGGTTGAGCACGGCTAAGCGAGAGAAAATGACGGGACTCAAGGGTGCTGCTCAATTTTTTCGGCTGAATTTTTGGGAAGATTTTGCACGTTCATTGGCCATAATTTTGGGGAAGAAGACGCGTGATTTTCGAGAATAAATCTGCTACAATTTTTTGGAGGAAAACTACCAATTCGCATGTGATGTGGCATTTTTTTATTGCTTAAGTTTTTTCACACGTTGAGACATAATAGGAAATACAGTTCAATATGGATTTGTACATACTATTAGTTTCCTTGTGTGTCTTGATCTATTATTTAATGGCTATAATAATTAGAATTATTTATTTATTTCTTTTTTTATTGCCATTATTGATCTAATACACCTAATATTTAACAATGGAATGTGTATATTAGTTTTTTCATGTGTATGATAATTAATTTATTGCTATTTGTAGCATAGATAATTAATTACTGTCAAAATTAAAAAAATTATGACTCCGTTTTGGATTTTTTTTCATTTTTTTTTGTTGTAAATTAACAATCGTGAATGGTTAATTAATTCAAAAAAAAAAAGCAATATTTTGATGTAATATCTTCATCATAAAATTCAATATTCTAATTAGAAGTCTTATCATAAAGTTCATCAATAATATTATCTAATTACTCATATTTTTTTAGGCTCCATGTATATCATTTTTGGAAAATTCTTACTACACAAATCGTATGTGAAAATTTGTTAACATTTTCGAAAAATCATACAGCAATTGGTTGTCGAAATTTATCAAACTACAACACTTTTTTTATAGAATGGATGAAAGGTTTCAAAGTTTTTCGAAAAATCACACTATCAATTTGGTGTCCATATTTGTCTATCTACTCCTTCTTATAGTCTAGAAAGAATCCAATTTATATGGATTTTTAATTTTTTTGTTAGATAAAGAATTTCGAAATATCCCTACTACATAAATTTTCTATCATAAAACTCACTCATAGTATTGTTTAAATACTATTTTTCATTTTTATTCTTAATATATTTAATATTTTCACAAAATAATATATATATATATATATATATGTGTGATTTTATTTTTTGTTATTATGAGATATGATAAATTATAAAAATTGAATAGTATGCATATATGGAACAATATTTATTTTAAATTTGTTTATATATTTTTAAATCAATTACATCACTAAATCCCCTCGTGCTTCGAATGGGATGCTTACTAGTTTCTCAAATAATGTGAATTAACTAATATATGGTATATAGTGCAAGAATTTATTTTTGGAATTGATAGTTATTTCTAAGGGAAATAAATTAACTAATACATGGTATAAAGTGAACAAATTTATTTAGGCTATTTGATAACTTTTTTTTTTTTTAGGAAATTTGTTGAAAAATTAATCAATATACGGTGTACTTTTTGTTGTAAGGCGCGGACCCTTCTTTTGTATGAAATTAACATAAAAAAATTACCGTAACTCCGACCAAATAATATGAACGGATATTTTGATATAATGTGCGTGTATCGATATTTTTATATAGAAAAACTCTGGTCAAATTTTTTTGTATAATTAGTGGGTCTCGATTTAATTCATTTTTTGTTACGACATTTCAAATAATTTTTGTGTGAAATGCACTATTCATTTTTTTAGCATGATAAAGATTGTCGATTTTTTGGCATAAAAATCTTATAACTGATTGTTTTTACTCAATTATTTGAATATTTTATACAAAAATAAATTTATTTTAATTAATTTAAAAACTATAAGCTTTATATTTATACTTATTATTCACATAATTTTTTAAATATAAGATTAAACTTTACCAAAATAACTATTTTATGGAATAATGTTATAGCCAACTCGAATTTCTGAATAAAATTTTTGAAATGACACATATTTTGAAAAGAATATAATGTAATTTGTTATCAATTATGTGCGATGCACAGCTTGTGTATTAATTTTATAATAGACGTTTTTATGCAATTTTACATAATTTAAATTATATACAACATTTTCAATAAATTAATATAGGTACATTGTATTACATATTGATCCCATGTTTTTAATTTTTAAATATTATTTAATGCGAATTTTTATTTATAAATATTAATTAATATCTCTTACTCGTGCATCGCACGGGATTCGTACTAGTTAAAAATGCATTTCACAAAAAAATTACACAAAAAATATAACACACTCATTAAATAATAAATTACACAATTTAGTTGAATTTTTTTACCAAATCACATAATTGATATTGCAGCCAAAATTCTCATATTATGGTAAATCAGCTGAATTAACATGATTTCACTAATTAAGGTATTTTAAAAATGAATTTTTTATGGTTTAATTATTTCCTTAAATAATGAACCGCAATTTCCAGATGTGATTATTTGAAATATACCATAAATTGTTAAATTAGTGATTTTTTATGGCCTAATTATTTCTTTAAATAATGAGACGCAATTTCCATAAGTGATTATTTGAAATATATCATAAATTGTTAAATTAGTTACCCGAAATAATAAATAATTTTTTTTTAAAAAAATAGTTAATATTTAAAAAATAATTAAGAAAATTACTCTCTCTACTAGACTATTCCTTTTTAATTACATAATTATACCCTTTATATAAATATTAACAAAATTACTAGAGTTGTTATATTTATTTGCACTTATAGTAGAATAATTATTTAATCACTAATTAATGAGAATAGGGGAATGTGTCAATTACTCTAAAATTGATTGCCTATTTTTAAGGTAATAGAATCTCTCTTCCATACCTATTAGCGAGAATGGCTGGAATAGAATCTGACTCGACATACAACTAACGGTAGTGTGAACAGAGATGTGGGAGCAGCGTCACGACTGGAACGAAAAGCTTTATCAAGCGGCGCGGCTATGTCTCTAACGACGACACCATCGACGTACGGCCATTGACGGAGGTGCGGCTCGACGGTGGCGTTCGGCAACTATGGTAGACTTTAATCCAGTCAAATCAAATTGCCGGCTTAATAAACTAGAATGGAATTTTGAAGGAGCTTATTTTGGATAAAATTAGTGTGCTCTTCATTGTTTTCACTCTTTTGCATATGATGTCTCATTGTTGAAATTTCTGTCAATTTTTTTTATTTTTTATTTTTTATTTTTTTGTGATCTAACTGGGATGTTTTTCTGTCAAATTTGTCTTAATGTTTACTTTCTTATTTCAGAGTACATACCCATGAGACTTAGATCACAAAATGTTTATTTTTTATTTCAAAGTACATTCCCAGCGGGGAGGTGAAGTTTA